AGTGGGAGGGACATTTGCTCAGGGACACTTTAATCTTTTCTTGTGTTTCAGAGTTGAGTCATTATATTGAAAATAGATCCTTAGTCAAATTATGCCCTGAGAGAAGGTAGTGATACTGGCCTAGTTACCACAAAATGCTAAACAATGGTTTATTCAACTACAGTTTATTGAACCATGACTTAGTAGTATGTGGGAACTCTGTCCATTGACTTCACTATGTTTTGTTTACTGGCAACAAACTCTGATGTGAAGTCATGGCACGTTGTTGGCTTTCAGATTTTGTTTTGTTTAACATGTGTGTCAAGCACTCTTCCTTAACCATAGTTTTTTGGTTACCACCCCTTCCCCAGGACACTCACCAAATTGAAGCCATTTTTAAATCATCTGTGAGATGATTCATTGTTAACACATGGTTTGTTAAACAAACTACGGCTTAGCATTATATGCAAACCATCCAATAGTTAGAAGACAAGAAGTTTTATTTTCCTTTGCTAATGTTAATGAAAATTATTTCTCATTGAGAGATTGGTAACTATTTTATAAAGAAGCAGATTTAACACTAAAGAAGGATGGAACATTGTATTAGGACTGCAAAAAAACTCTGAATAGTGTTTTGTAAGGCAATCCTGTAAGGTTGTGAGGGACACCCAATTTCCTCTTGAAAATAATTCTGGGATGAAATTTCACCCATACAGGCCTTGTAATAAGGACTGCATTTATTTAAATATTATGTGTCTGTATTATGTTGAATTTAAATGACAAGAATTGTTGGTATTACAGAAACTGATATGGTGTTCCAAGTAATATTTATGGGTTTGTTTGTTTTTTGTGTGTTGTAGCTTCCATGTTTTTGAAACAAGCTTTTGAAGGCGAATACCCTAAATTACTGAGGCTCTATAATGATTTCTGGAAGCGTATTCAACAATATAGCAAAAATATTCAAAGAAATTTCATTACAAATGGCACTGCTGAGCACTTTGCAGAACTTCAACAGATAGAAGATGATACACAGGACATTTTCACGCAAAAGAAACAGGATTATGAGTATGTATATAGTGTATATATAATTAGAAAATAGAAAATTCTAGACTCTGAAGCTTTGTATTCCCCACAACATAGAGCATTTTGTTTTAACATTTTAATTAACAACAGTGTGCTATTTCATTCTAACAGTTTGGGCGTTATTTTTTTACAGTGTACATGATTTTTAACCACAGCTAGCATCAACCACAGTTAATGATTTGCAGCAAACGAGTAAATGCTCAACACCACAGTGCACTGAGGAAACAAACCATGAGCATGGCTTAGCATTATGTCAGAACTGGGGATTGTTTCACTTCCAATGAAGCTCAGTCTATAGCCAGAGTTTGTTGTTGGCTCGCTGATCGTGGCTTGTTGGAGCAAAACAAACCACGATACGTGGCTCGGACATAACGCTAAGCTAGGGGTTTTGTTTGTTTCCGTTTGTGTGGTAGCAAGTAGGAGCACAACAGCCCTGCTCAGTACATTCATGGTAAACCATTAGCTGAGATATATTGTGATGTGCAAACTAGGCCACTGAATCTGCTCCTGATGGCATGTACTGTACAGTGCTGATTGGCTTGGACAGAAGTAGACAAACATTAAATGGGTTTCTGATCTCCCACCTGTCTAGTTTGTGAGATATTTTGTATGCGAGGCTCTGAATCAGTGGGCTGTCTCTGACACACTCTATTCCTGGAGTTCTCAAACTGTGTCATACTAAAGCTCCCCAAAGCAACATCTCTTTGGGACTGAATGTGTCCACTAGCCTGACTGTGTCAAACGTCGATCTCATTCCAGAGGGGGGACCATTTGACCATTGTAGATATTGGAGTAGAGTTGGGGAACCTGTAGCCTTTCAGATGTTGCTGAACATCAACTCCCATGATCCCTGATCATTGATCATACTGACTGAGACTAATGGGAGTTTCAGAACACCCGGAGGGCTGCAGGTTCTCTGCATTACTGTCCCCAGAGAATTAAAAAAACTTTATTAAAATTCTGATAGAGATTGCAATGCTATATTGTTTTCTGTCTCATGGCCCGTGCAAGACACCTGCTGGAGTGTCTTGGGAAATCTCTAAAATTCCTGACAACAGTTTGCGGTTAAACAGTGATTCCTGAAAGTACAGGTTGAGGAGTCCTTATGGGTGGGTCAGTAATAAAAGACAGGGGGTAATGTATTCAATGGGTTTTTGCTTCTGGATTAGAAGCTGGTATGAGTTCCTCAGTATCATTTGGGGTCAGGGACTCAAATTTGCCTCTTATACTAAAAGCAGAACAATATAATGTGTATGGAATATGTAACTACAGCAAACTTTATTTTAAGTTAGGAAATGTTCCGTTTTTAACATTGAATGTCTCAAAGAAAGACCTTGATTTAGAAAAATTGCTTGCTAATTGAACATTTCATGCATTTCGAAGGAGAAGATTAATTCCTAGAGCTACACACAACTCTGCCAATTAACGCTTTAGTAAGTGTAGCTGCTCCTAAAGTCGGGATACTTGCTTTATAGGCTTTTGCATACTTTCCCACTAGAAATTACTCTAAAGGATCTGCATGCCTTCAGAATAATTTGAGTAAGAGCTGAGAAAATAGGGATGGTGTTTCTTTAAGGTAGACTTTAGTCCAACCCCAAATTGGTTGCTTTTTGTTGTTGTTGGTTTGTTTGAAAAAAGGAAATATATTTTATCTTAACCCGTTTCCCCCACTACTCAGTCCAGAAATAGCCCTGAAAGACTCTTTGCAACCTTATGAAGCTGCCTACTTGTCAAAGTCATTATCACGGCTTTTTGACCCCATCAACCTCGTCTTTCCCCCTGGAGGTCGCAACCCCCCTTCAGCTGATGAGCTTGACAGCATCATCAAAACCATTGCAAGGTAAAGTGTTCATAATAAATTTTGGGACGTAACATGCAGCGTGATTTTCCTCTCTCCCTAAATTATAGTTTAGGAAATGGAAGCTCATTACTGCTAAATGATTGATTCCTCATTAATTATCCAAGCAATTAGCAGTGAAATTAAATCAGAGCTTATCTTATGCATTTTTATTGTGCAAACTGGAGAAACCCAGCTAGTTCTGTTGGACCTTCTTTCTGTGTTCTGTGTTTGCACACGTTACATTTTACTTCCTGGAGATGCTGTTCTGGACCTTTCTGCTGCTGTTCTGAATTTGAAGGTAGTTTAAAAAGAAAATGTGTCTAAGCCCTAGCTGGCCTGGGAGTGGACATAAACGTTCCAGCCACATTGTTAGAGGCCAGCCCTACATTGTATGTTTCACCATGTCTTACTGTGCGATTGTAATTGCGAGGTAATGGTTGAGGGAGAGGTCTGGAGAAAAACTTCTTTGGAAGAATTAAAACTTTTCATAATAGGAACATTATCCCTCCCTTTAGGATATGCCATATTGTTCCAAGGGAGATGAAAGTATAGACATAATCATGATCTAAGAAGTGTCTAGAATATCCTTACTCAATCTGATGCCCTCCAGATGTTTTGGACTGCGAGACTCATCAGCCCCAGACAGCATGTCCAGTGGTCAAGGATAATGGGAATTGTAGTTCAATAACACCTGGATAGGGCACTAGGTTGGGAAAGGCTGATCTAGAGTGACACTGAGTTTTGAACTTATGGCATTAAATTTAAAAAGCCATGTGGGTGGGAAGACCAAGAAGCAGAACAGAAAAATTATTTGACCCCTGCGTCTCTATATCATAACCTCTCTTTGGTCACATGGGTGGCTGTGCTGCAATTTTGAACATGAAGTGCTGGTCAAACTGTTTTGAAAGCATGAAGCTGTTCTTTTAAAAAAAAATTCCATTTGTAGATTGAGTTTAGACCTGATGAAGAAGGATATCCATATTTGCTCTTGCGACCTATAGAATGCCAACATTGGTGGTATTGCATTATGATCTGTGGAGAGCGTTGTATAAAAGATACCTTAGGGCGAGTTCTCCTGCACACGAGAAACAAATCTGTGATCAAATTTTACTGCCCATTCACCGAGTTTGGAGAGATCCTTTCAGAACTCTTCACAATTCATTTTGTGTCTTAACCATGCTGAATGTTTTGGTATCATCAGCAAATCTGGCTGCCTCACTGCTCACCCCCTAACTCTAGATCATTTATGAACAAGTTTTAAAGCACAGTTTATTTGTGAACAAGTAAAGAAGCACAAAAGAAAGTCACTATGTGAATGGTGCATTCAGAATTAGATGAATTAAATTCATTATCCTAACATAGTGTGTGTAGATGTTATTCCCCCTTGTTTGGTGTCTAAAATAGCAAGAAAACAATTGAAGAATCGTGATTAAACAGTCATTTTTTTGCCTTTTGTTTCTAGTGAGCTGAATGTGGCTGCTGTAGATCCAAATCTCACCTTGGCGGTATCAAAAAATGTGGCAAAGACCATACAGCTCTTTAGCGTGAAGTCTGAACAGCTTGTAAGTAATTCTCAGTTGTGAAATCGTTTTAGGTTTAAAAATGTGTTTCTTTCTGTCATCAGTGCTCCTCACAAACAGCAGTGCAGTTTGAACAGCTGAAACGTTTAAATACTTCCAGTTATGCATTTTCAAATTTTGTGGATCAGAATTACTCGGGGCGCAATCTTATTCCCAGGATTGAGTGGTGGACTTCCTTCTCTACTTACAGAAAGGGAGGTTTGCGGACAGAGAAGGTCTCCTCTCACAAGCTTCTCTGTTGCAGGCATGGAAAACTCTCCCCACCCAAAGTGGTGGATCATGAAAGATTTTGCTAGAAAGGGTGGTGTGGCGTTAAGTAAACTTGCAATGCCACTCACCAATCCTACAGATGTAGTGATAATGGAGGCTGTGACTCAGAACATAGAGACCTGCAACTGCATTTTGTAGGAGAGCCGGGGAAGCCGTGCTGCTCCCGATGTTGTTGGACTCCCAACTTCCATCACCCCCAGTCAGCATGGTCGGGGATGATGGGACTTGTAATCCAAATAGTATTATGAGCCTGGTTAGCTCAGCTGGTTAGAACATGGTGCTGGAAACACCAAGGTTTCAGGTTCGACTCCCATATGGGACAGTTGCATATCCCTGCATTGCAGGGGGTTGGACTGAATCAGGGCTCGGCTTCCTAAGGCCCATGGGCCACAAGCAGCCCATGGGGGTCATTTAACTGGCCTCCGAGCCACCCCCAAACCGAGCCGCCCGCTTGGCAATTCCCTGCGCGCTGTACTAAACCAGCGCAGCACGGGGACTCGCTTCTGCGGTGCTGGAAATCATGTCTGTGCAGGCGCTGGAAATTGTGGGCACGCACAGTCCAGCCAACAGAGGGATCTCTGCTGGAGTGAACCGGCCCAAGCAAGGTAAACCTTGCCGATCCCTGGACTAGATGATCCACAGGGTCCCTTCCAACTCTACAATTTGATGATTCTATGGTTTGGAGGATGCCATGTTGGCGAAAAGTGTTTTAAACCTGAAAAATCAGAATAGTACAAAACTAGTTTCCTGCAAATAAATAAACGGCCTTCAGCTTCTGTAATACAAAATATTTCTAAGGACAAGCCAAGACGATTTTGTCAGTGAATTGTAAAAGCAGGCATGGCAGCCATAAATGCTAAGAAGGCCTCAGGGCCCGTGGAGTTTTGTATTGCATGTGTCATTCAGTCTTCAGAGCGATGTTGAGGGTGATTCAGAAAGAAGCGTGCTTTCAAAAGAGGCAAGTGGTTTCAGAATAAAAACAAATTGTAAAAAAACACTGACAGGAATGTGGGGCTGCTGCTGCTGCTTTTGTTTCACATCAGTTGTTCTGAAGGCCCTGTTCTTCAGGGCTAGCTTTGATGAAGTATGAAGCCTTCAAAGCTGTTGTGACTCTAAGCTACCAAACCCCCCATCACTGAAAGATAACTTTGAGGGATTTGGGGTGGGAAATCCTGATAACTTTGGTAGGGAAAACACCATACACTTTAAACTCATCTTCAGACTAGGAACACTAACACATCTATCCCAGGGGTCAGCAAACTTTTACAACAGGGGACCGGTCCACTGTCCGTCAGACCTTGTGGGGGGCCCGGACTATATATATTTTTTGTGGGGGGTGGGGGTGAACGAATTCCTATGCCCCACAAATATTCCAGAGATGCATTTTAAATAAAAGGACGCATTCTACTCATGTAAAAACACGCTGATTCCCGGACTGTCCGTGGGCCGGATTTAGAAGGCAATTGGGCCGGATCCGGCCCCGGGGCCTTAGTTTGCCTACCCATGATCTATCCCGTGTTCCTACAATGTTCCAATGTGCCACTGGGAGGGAATTAACGCCTATAACAATCAGTGCTAGTGTAACATGACTCCCCCATCCATCAATTCTCTCCCAATATGCACCCTGCACCCCTTCCGCATCTGCTCTAGACGGTTGGACAAAAACCTGGAATATACAGTCGGACCTTGGTTGTCGAATGGAATCCGTTCGACTTCCGAAAACGTTCGACAACCAAGGCATGGCTTCCAATTGGCTGTAGGAGCTTCCTGCACTCAGTCGGAAGCTGCATCGGGCGTTCAGCTTCCAAAGAACGTTTGCAAACTGGAACACTCACTTTGCAGTGTTCAGGAGCCAAAACGTTCAAGTCGCAAGGCGTTCGGGATCCAAGGTACGACTGTATGGTGGGGGGACAGTGCAGAGAGGGAGAGAACATTCTGTTGTGTGCGGAGAAATCCTTGAGCTGATGGGACGTTTCTTAGTGCTGCATTGAATGCAACCTTCCGTTTTGCTTTGTGTTAGTGATATTTTTGCAGGATGTGACAGTAACAGCCTTCAAAATTCAGGAAACTGGGCTTGTACAGGGGACACATATGTAGAAGTGCCTCTGGTTGCGTGAAAAAAATGCTTGTGCATGTCCCCATCCTTCCTGGTTGTACTAGGACCTCTTGTATACGGTCTCTTAACTATTTCAATATGATAACCTATAGAAAAAGGCAACATGGATTTTTCGTCCCTGTAGGGTTAGAATGGTAGCAATTCATAGCAGCTCATTCTCAAAAATGGAGGGATGCATTTTCTTAACCTTTCCCTCTCCTCAACCCATTTTATTGGTGCTGTGATCTCAGTGGAGGCTTAAGGAAATAATGTGGCTTAAGGAAATAATAGTGGCTGTAAAAGCTGTAAGAGTTTGCGTTCAACAGGTAGATGTGCTTCATTATGTAGCCTCCAGTAGGTTTCTTCTTACAGGTCTGTAGAAAACCGTGTTGCCTTTTGCCAAGGGTGTGGAAAGCAAGGAAATTCTTATTTAAAGCACAGTCTGTGAGAACACAAATAATGCGAAGAAAATGTCTAGGAAGCGAGGTGCTAATATGTCACCATCATCAATCAAGTTGGTGTGCCTAATCTGATTTTCAAAATTAGCCTGAGCTAATTGCTTCAAAGTCAAGTAGCCTGGAGGAAATTATGTTTGTTGTACATTACCATATATTATTTTTGGCCTTCCAGCCTGCTTTGATAACACACACACACACACACACACACACTTTGTCACAAATGAAATCTGTGATAGATTTACACGAGAATTTATAGGTAACACCAATCCGTCCAGGCTTCTCTTCCCCATGAGCAGTCAGCAAAGTGCCTCAGAGATGCTTATAAGCAAGGCATGGTGTTGACAACCTTCAAAATTTCCCAACAGCTAGTAGTCAGTTGTACAGTCCTTGTACATGTAAGCTCTGTTTGGCAATCACAGCAACTGATAGACCCATCTTCCATAAATATAGCCAATTATTTGCAAAACAAAAAACAAAACCCTCCCACCATTCTTGATTGTGTATATTGAAATAAACTACCATTTTGAAACACATTCTTTAAAAAAAAAAAATTACACTTAGGCAAAATTATCAGAGTTCAATTTCTAGCATTTCCAAGTAGGTCTTGGAAATCCTGTGTAGCTGCTGCCTGTCAGTGTTGACAGAACAAGACTAGGTGGGCCAATGGCCTGACTCAGCATATGGCAGCTTTCTATGTTCCTAAACAATGTGCCTCTTTGTGTTATCAGAATGCACACAAAAGTGCCATTTTTTTGTCTGGGCTATTCATTAGTTGTGTGTACAGAGTGTGCCGGCAACGTAGTAACGAGCATGCAATTTTTCAAATTAAAATATTAATGCTTGCTCTACTTGTTATTTGTGCATCCTAATATATTATTTTCTTTGAGCACAGTCGCTCATTGATCTTCTTTTAATTAAGCCTGTTGCTTACATTCTGAGTGTGCACACTTAATTAAGAACCCAGCCTTTTTTGTCACTGCTTTTACTTAGGATTAATTTCTGACAAACGTATACTATCAACACCATGCGGTCTGCTTGTTGAGCTGTACTGTAATTCAGTACGGGGGGGGGGGGGATTGGCAGGTGAAGACGCCTCTGCACCCCCTAGCCATGGGTTGAAAGCGACTGGGAAATTCTGTATGTGTAGGTCATGGTTGCCATGACAGAAGGGAGACGATAAAAAGTGTTACCACCCAACTATTAGATGCCTCCTGATTTGTAAATTGGCGGCTGTCAGGTAGCTTTATTGGGAGGTGCTGCCAATAGAAACATGGCTGATGGTGTCCTTTCCAAAGCCCCTACTGATTTGGCTCATTTCCTACTTACCGTATTTTTTGCACCATAACACTCACTTTTTTCCTCCTAGAAAGTAAGGGGAAATTTCTGTGCGTGTTATGGAGCGAATGCCTGCGGGTGGCGGGGGGGATCTGCTGCAGTCGTGTGCAGAGGATCCATGGTTCCACTTCCTTCCCTCCTCCGTGGTTACAAAGCATGGATCCACATGGATCCTCAGGATTTTTGCATTGGGCTACTCCAAACTCACTGTCAGATCACATGTCTGTGGCCACAGCATGAACCACAAAAATCATATACCCACTATTTCGTTTAGAATGTTTTTTTTCTTGTTTCCTCCTCTAAAAACTACGTGTGTGTTATGGTCTGGTGCGTGTTATAGAGCGAAAAATACGGTACATCATGGAGTCTCTGAGTTGGGCTCTGGCTCCACCCTGATGACAAAGCAGGGGAAAAAACAATTCAGGAAATGGGTGGCTCCCAATCAGTTTTCTTGCTCTTGGCTCTCACTTTCTTTCTCTTTCGGCCTTTAAATTTGTTTTTCCTCTTCTCATTTCTGGCCTTATTCTCCTCCTTCTGTCATCTTCCTCTGTTTCCCCCTTCATCTGAAGCCTCGCCCTTGGAGTAGCAGCCTTCAATCGCCCTTCCTACCTTCCCACCTACCTACCTACCTTTCTTCTAAAACTAAAACAAAAAACCCCCCTAATCTTTGTTGCCCGACGGTCTGCCTTCAGTGGAAGGTATTGCATTTGGTCTACCTGTGGCCTCCCCCTGCTCACGCCCTGCCAGAGACTACAATCTCACATACGTTTCCGAGCACAATTCAAAGTGTTGGTGTTGACCTTTAAAGCCCTAAACGGCCTCAGATCAGTATACCTGAAGGAGCGTCTCCACCCCCATCGTTCTGCCCGGACGCTGAGGTCCAGCGTTGAGGGCCTTCTGGCGGTTCCCTCATTACAAGAAGCAAAGCTACAGGGAACCAGGCAGAGGGCCTTCTCGGTAGTGGTGCCCACCCTGTGGAACGCCCTCCCATCAGATGTCAAAGAGATAAACAACTACCTAACATTTAGAAGACATCTGGGAAGTTTTTAATGTGTGACATATTTTTCATCTTTGGAAGCCGCCCAGAGTGGCTGGGGAAACCCAGCCAGATGGGTGGGATACAAATAATAAATTATTATTATTATTATTATTATTATTATTATTAGCCAATACTTGGGTCCTTACAACCCAGACAGAGCTTGTAGGCCACACCCAGATGGCCTCGCCAAAACGTGTCCCTCTTTGTCCACTGTGTCCTTCCCCGGTACATGGATGTTCACCCTCCATCCACCACCACATCTAGCTGCTCATGAATTTGATGGTGTCTTTGGGTCGGTAGGCGTCTGAAGCCTCTGGTAGCTGAGAAGGCCAAACAGAAGGCAAGATGGCAGGATGGCTGCTGGACTTTGCCCCAAGATGGTCTCATGTTGCCAA